CACACACACACACACACACACACACACACACACACACACACACACACACACACACACACACACACACACACACACACACACACACACACACACACACACACACACACACACACACACACACACACACACACACACACACACACACACACACACACACACACACACACACACACACACAAAGCACCATTATACAGTAGCACAGTTCATGGTCTTTATTCTTTTTCTGCTACTTAGGAAGGAGATAAAACTCTGGTAGATCAACAGAATTTAAGCTTTGAAATCTAATGTCTAAAACCAACAGGCTGTATTTTAGGTCATTCTTTTCTATATTCCTGGTCAGAATAAACGACATGTGATGTGTGGTTGATAAAAAAACGTTTGCAAGCTCAATCATCCAGTAGATAACAACAAAAAGGTTGAATAGTGTCATCTGGACCAGTTTCTTTAAGTGAGAAATGTTTCGTCCCCCATCCAGAGGACTTCGTCAATCTGAGGCCTGCCAAGCAGATCTGTCAGAAATGTTTCTCACTTAAAGAAACTGGTCCAGATGACATGATCGAACCTTTTTGTTATGTGGTTGATAGTTTCATGGGGACAGCTTCATGTGGCCATGCTAGTCTTGTTTCACTTTACAAGAGCTGTTTGGCAGGTTGACTGTTTCTGCTGGCCCAGTTTGCAGCCCATGTGCTAGGGAAGTTACCCAAAACCCGAAGAGATATTTGAGAGCAAAAATGAGCCATAGGCAGGATGTTAATGCATTTTTTAGATGTTGGGGTGACCTTCAAATCATTGACGCACCAGCTTCAGTACTTTACGTATCATGGTTTGGGTATTGTCTATGGCTTTTATTTTTGTGTTGGCCCTTTGGGTATATATTGTCCATGGTTCAACAATTTTCAGTCAGGTCATCTGGACAGTTTCTTTTTTTTTTTGTTCTGAAACATTTCACCTTCCATTCAGAAGGCTTCATCAGTCAAGGAAACACACAACATAAAACTGATTCTTCCCCCAAACAGCTTGCTCCAAAGTGGAACAAACCAGTTTTGTTGGTGCTACGATGGTGTCTTTGATACGCCCCCCCCCCCCCCCCCCCCTCCGGTGCCAGCCCAGTTTGACATGACTGTCTATGAGGAAGAGGGCCAGCATCGGAGGAGGGGGCACACAAAAGAGACCATCTTAGCACCAACATAACTGGTTTGTTCCACTTTGGAGTAAGCTGTTGGGGGAAGAATCAGTTTTGTGTTGTGTGTTTCCTTGACTGATGAAGCCTTCTGGATGGAAGGTGAAATGTTTCAGCAAAAAAATAAACTGTCCAGATGACCCGACTGAAAAATGTTGGACTGTATACCTGGATTATTGAGCATGGACTTTGTTGATTGTCCATGGTTCTTGTTTCTTGTTCTTCGTATACCACCTATATCCCACTAGTAATCAGCACACCTGCAGACACTCAGTAATCACCCTTCTTAGTACATAGGCTCTGGTTTTCTTCAGCACTTTATTTGTTTGTTAACTTTTATGCACTGTGTTGGTAACAGATTACCCTGGTGTCACATTATAGCTATAAAAAAAAAGAGTAGAATAAAATGTAAAACTACCTGTACTGACACTTTAACATCTCACTTCCAACATTTGAATCTCTCAACAATCAAATTCTATTTTATAACAAAGTTTATATTGTTCCATACTTTCCTGACAGATCACTTCACTCTCAGATTTGGAGGTTTACTTGTGGTTCCTAGAGTTTCTAAAAGTAAAATGGGAGGCAGCGCTTTTATTTATCAGGCTGCTCTCTCATGGATCCAACTTGCAGTTTCTGTCTGTGAGGCTGATACACCATCTACGTTTAAGACAAGGCTTTAATAATGGTTTTCTCTTGAGCTTTCTCTTAGGTATGCTGCTATAGGTTTAGCCCACTGAAGGACAGATTAATCACATTTTCTCACTCCCCTGCTGACTTTACTCACTTTCCTCTACATTTGTACATTCAGTTATTGCATCTGTGTGTGTCTTCATTGTCCTATCAACTTTGTTGAGGCAAATGGCTGCACATCCTGAGCTTGGTTCTGGTTCTACATAGATTTGTTCCAGTTAAAAAGAGAGTAGTTTGGTTTCACTGTTGCCCTCCTTTCTATGCTTGTTCAGGATGATGGATTGCATCGTAGTTAAGTTTTGATTCTGGTTTTGGTTTCTTCAGGTAAAACTTTTGTAGCAATGAGTGTTTTGTGATAAACTGAATCTGAACATATTGTAATATGACATTAGGCTTAAATCATATTGACCCTGGATCTGTTTTGGACTGACATGGATTTCATGTAATTTAAGATCACTTAATTTCTAACTTATTTGTATGGTGTCCTGAGATTAATTTAGTTTTGAATTGGTTCTATATAAATAAATGAATTTTTCCTCCCTGGCTCTCATCGAGGTGGCTGCTTCTGTCTTTCCTTCCCTGTTTTTCCTTTTTCCTGCTCTGCTCTCTGTGTGTCTGAAGCGCCTGGTTCACATCTCCCAAACGTAAATTAAGAAGATTATGGATCTGGTATCCGGAGCGTTCAACTCTATTGATAAGATTTTTTCATCAAAGCAACAAGGTCCTGGAGAACCTGCGTGTCCAGCTGAGACTCACGCTGTGGGGTACGTCATGGATTTGTTGGGAGTGTGGCAGATGATGTTCCTCTCAGTTCTGTCTCAGGAGGATGTTGAAGACGTTTAAATATTTGGATTTATGATAGCAGGGACTCTGCTGTTTGGCATCGGCGGGGCTCTGTTTTATCGACTTTTGAAGAAGACAGCGGCAGCAGTTTCGGCCATGGAAAAGCTTCCGAGTCACTGTGAAGGTTTGGCCCGTGCTGTAGGAACTTTAAATCATCTGGTTTACGAGCTAAACCGTAAAGTGGAGGCGATTTATGAGAATTGCAGGCCACCTGCGGCTTCTGGGACTAGTCAGCATGGTGGGTTCGACCATGAGGGAGACTCATAGCATGGATCAGTGGAACGGATTCCCACAATTAGACCTTTTGGAACCACAACATCCAGATGGACTCAAGGCTGAAGAAGAAAATCTGTCTGCCTGAAAAAAAATCAACAATCAAAGCTTATTTGAATCCCCGACGGCCTCAGAATGGGCCGACTATTGAATTTCTCCTGGGGCATGGGTAACCAAGGACAAAAGCTTCATCTATCCCCCCCCCCCCACCCACCCCCACCCCGGAGAACTTTCTGTGCAGGCTTATCAGAACTTCTGGCTGAAACAACATCTTAAAAAACTGTGGCTGATCTGAAAAGCGTTCAAAGACTAATCTCAACACCTCGACGTCAAATGCATGTAATCATCTTTATAATTGTGCTTGCTGGTAGAGTTTTATTTTGATGTCTCAAATCGTGTCCTGATAGACAAGATGTGAAAGATCTATTTTTTTTTGTAACACCACTATCCACCCTCATGTTTCTCCCCCTTTTACTATCTAAGATTATTATTCTGAAAAGGATAAGAGAGGCCGCACTTAGAGCAACAGCTTCGTGCACTCCGTCCATCTTTCAGACGACTGTACGTAAATGTTCTCGTTGTATCTCGGTGCAATGATAATAAAGCTTATTCTGATTCTGATTCTGAAATTGAATTCAATTGAAAAGTATTACTGAGTTTCTAGAAACTATCTGGGAGGATTATTTGGATCTATGCTCAACATCTACTAAATGTGACATATTTGGGTCTCAAAATTTGCTTTAGTGTGATTGCTTAAGTTTCTTTCTTACTTCTAAATAAACTTATGTTTGAATAATAATACTAATAAAACATTTTATTTGGAGGAAGCTTTCTGGCACTTAAGGACACCAGACAGAAAGTTCAAGCAACAAATACATAGAAAAACATCAAAATACTGAGAATTGGTTGTACCTTAAACTCTGTTGGAACAATTAGCTTGGGAGTCTCAAGTCCCATGAGCATATCAAGCCCGACAAAGGTCATGATGGACATGAAGATGGAGAAGTCACTGATGAGTTTCCTTAACTGGTGGCACACAAAAACAAAGTAGTAAAAAGGTCAGACAGAGGAAAATGTTTAGCGCTTAAAGGGTTTAAGATCTCCACGTGAGCTGCACTTTATATTGAAAACCAATTGAACGATCTTAAAAAGTCTTTTGTTGATATTTTAACCTATAGTACTGCATGTTGCATATCACAGCACAGCACATCAATTTTGGTGATAAAGTGTGGGAGTTCCTGTTTCACTACTGTCCTGAAGTCACTAGATGGTGCCAACCTGCCACACCTGTGAACCATCTTCTTGATGAGACACAGAGTATAAAAGGCAACAGATGACTTGTCCTCACCGCTGAAGCATTACCTGCCAATGGTAGTCATGCTTCTAGCCACTTAGTACCCTCTTGACTTGAAAATTACTTACCTGTGTCTTTTTGATATTTCCACTGTACCTCCTGTGACGTATCTGCTCCTGGACTCTTCTGTGAAACTCTGGAAATCTCTTTGTGGCATCCTCAGCTATCTTCCTAGCCTTCCAACCACACGCCTATCAGAGCCCATAATCCACTCTGGGCAACTCCTTGCTTACACAAGATTTATTGCAACCAATTAGGGCTGGGCGATATCTCAATATTAAAAAAACAACAACAGTTTTATTTGCAATATAAATTGACATTATTTCGATATAAACAATATAGTTTTACTTGAAAATCTGCTGGCACTGCTGTCTTCTTTCTTCTCCCACATGGCCCCCTCCTCTCACTCACTACAAACCCAGCCCCTACCTGTGAGCTCTCCCCCTGCTTCCTGCTTCTGTCCAGGTGAAGTGGCTGCCTGCAACTTGTAGCAGCCACAGTCACAAAATGGAGAGAGCAAGTTGCAGAACTGGTGAGCAGGGAAAAATGGCTCTGTTACTTGGCGATAATTTGGATTTAATTTGTCAGATGTGCAACAGAAAAATTGGCATTATTTCTGCTTTATTATCTGCTATTTTAGTTCTTTATTTTGATTTTACGTTATGTTATATGTTGCTATGTGCTCAGACATACCATACCATACCATTTTATTTATAGAGCACTTAAAACAGCTACAAGGCCAACCAAAGTGTTGTACAGACAGAACAACAGGTGACACACAAAGAAATATACAAAATGAAGTAAATCAAAAATATATACATAAAAACGATGCAGATAATGATGTAGTGAACTTAACCTGACGTCAAACTAAGCCTAAGGTCAAAACCCTTGACCTTAAGAACCTTGTGGGACAGAAACTGTCATTTCATTGATCTGCATCCAGAAATACAGTTTGACCCATCCTGAGACTTTCTTTCTTGAATTAATCAAGTAGAAATGACAATTCTCTATGATCATTACTACTTTACAAATGTGTGATAATCAAATTGTGTTAGTTCAAACAATGTTTACAGGTTGAAGAGAACTACTCATTTTTATTTACTTAAACAGTAGTAATGATTTTTATTCCTCATTCAAAGAAGAAATCAGGGTAATATGCATTTCTTGATTTTTCTGTCTTCAATGAGCAAGTTTGTAAGTGTGTGTCAAAGTTCAGGCTTCGGTCAACTAAAAAGTTTACTGAAAAGAAATGTCATGTTTAACTTTTACAGCAGATACTAGGAGAAGAGACGCCACTGAGACTGGTTTTCTCCAATAATCTTTCTGTCTGTTTTAAACAATCCTTGACTTTCCATAACACCTTACATCACAAACCACACCTCTGTTCTGGTCCATCGACCAATCAAAAAGCTCTCAAATGACCCGGAAGTCGAACCCATTTAAATGTGGCGACTTCCCAGTTCAACGACGGAGTTTTTCAGAGCTTGAAAGTTTTTCCTGGAGAAGAGTTCCAGAGTTTAACTCTCTGAAGAGAGTTAAAGAGTTCAGAGTTCTTGGATGCTAACGCAGGCGTCCAGGATGCTTCTATTGGAATCCAGAATCCAGAGACGATCTTGGGGATTATAACTTCTGTTTGGATAACCTCACACGACTCCTAAGGGTTTGGCTGTCCTCACGGAGACGCTGAAAGAGTCAGAAGGGAACTCTACACCGACGCTGATTATCATCTGCCAGGTAAAGGTTCTATTTCGACCAAGCGTACCGTGGGCCAAGCTTATTCTCCAAAGAGCGTGTTGTTCTGGTACCACAGATAAATTCCCTCACACATCTCTCTGTAAGATAAATCTCCATTTTCCATCTTTAAACTCTCCTTTCTGCTAAAATCATTACAGATATTTTTAGAAATGTCTGAAGCAAAGTTTCTCAATCACCGCCGTGTGATTGATGTCTGCTGTTCTGCTGAAAAGTGACAACAATCGCCGTATTGTTCTCACTTCCTGTGAAACTAGCCATGTTATTGTTTTCATATTTTGCCAAATTAATGTAAATGTTTGATGTTAAACTTTGATTCTGCAAATAAATGACCGCATTCATTTTGATGGGTCAAAGATAAATAACGTCTCTCGTTACATTTCTGTTAAATTCAATGCACGCATGCTACACAGTCAGAAAAATGAAGAACCCGTAAATGTATGAATATATCCTGCATATGTCATACTACAATGACGACAAATCAGTGTAGAGCATACAGGTTCAAAACACAGATCTTCTGGTGTTGAACGCTACTGAATAGTAGTGAATTTTTAAACGGGATTTGAAAACCGAGAGGGAGGGGCCTGTCTGACAAGCAGAGGTAACTCGTTCCAAAGGGGTGAAACTGTTCAGTGATTTGTAGACATACAGGAGTATTTTGAACTGGATTCGAAGGTGAACCGGTAAACAGTGCAGTGAGGCCAAAACTGGTGTAATGTGCTCTCTTTTGCCTGTACTGGTTAAAAACCGGGCTGCTGCATTCTGGACCAGTTGTAGTCGTGCAATGGAGGTCTGACTGATACCAAACAGGAGTGAATTGCAGTAATCAAGCCTAGATGTAATGAATGCATGTATTACTGTCTCCAGGTTCTTTTTGGACAATATGGGCTTCAGTTTAGACAGCCGCCTCAGTTGAAAGAAGCATGATTTAACAATCATGTTTACGATTGTTAAGTTTCAGGGAAGGGTCCATTATCACGCCCAGATTAGTGACTCTTTGTTTTTCTGACAGGGTTAGAGCGGAGAGGTCGATGCAGTGGTTTGTGATTGTGTCATTGGGAGGGAACAACATGACTTCAGACTTCTTCTCATTGAAACTTAAGAAGTTTAAAGCCTTCCATTCCCTGATGTCAGCCAGGCAGTCGAGCAGAGGTTGAATAGAGCATGTGCCATTTTGTCTTAGGGGGAAGTCAATTTGACAGTCGTCGGTGTAGAAGTAAAAGGGTATGTTGTGTTTCTGGAAAATAGCACAAAGTGGCAGCAGGTATAAAGAGAATAGGAGGGGACCCAGGATGGACCTCTGCGGAACCCCCCATTTAAGCTCTGTCGCTGCAGAACTAAAATCCTTGATGGAGACACAAATGGATCTGTCAGTGAGGTAGGATCTGAACCAATTGAAGGCTGACCCTGTGATGCCCACCCACTGCTCCAACCTAGCAATGAGGATCTCATGGTCGATGGTGTCAAAGGCGGCTGTGAGGTCCAACATGACAAGCAGAACAGAATCACCGGTATCAGTGGATCTCAAGATGTCATTAAAAACCTTCAGCAGGGCAGTTTCAGTGCTGTGGAGAGGTTTAAAGCCAGATTGGAATAGCTCTAAGATGGCGTGATCCTCCAGGAAGCACTTGAACTGGGACTCAACTGTTTTCTCCACTATTTTAGAAACAAATGGGAGTTTGGAGACAGGCCGGAAGTTAGAAACGACTGAGGGGTCAAGGTTTGGTCTTCTCAGGAGATGCTGGACAGCAGCATTTTTAAAGGATTTTGGCACCACGCCAGTGGATAAACTACTGTTTACTATATCAACAATGGATGGACCTAGAGTAGGAAAAATCTATTTTAGTAGTTGAGGGGGGACCACATCAAAGGGGGAACCAGAAGGTTTCAAGCTGCACATGACCTGCTCTAGAGAAGATAGAGTGATGTGTTCAAAATGGTCAAAAGGAGCTACAGATTGAGGTGGGTGGAATGGATGGGTCATGAGTTGGAGGGGAAATGAGAGCCCGGGTGGTCGCAATTTTTTCCAAAAAGAAATGTAAGAAGTTCTTGCACAGCTCAGTCGAGGCTTCCAGAGGTGATGGTTCAGTGAGGTGGAGAACAGAGTTTAGGGTGGAGAAGAGGACACGTGGGTTGTGAGAGTTTGAGGTAATTATATCAGAGACGTATTTGGATTTAGCAGCTTTCACTGCTTTCTGATAACGGCGCCAACTCTCTTTAAGTATTTGAAAAGAGACCTGCAGCCTGTCTTTCCTCCACTTTCGCTCCGCCCTCCTGCACTGCTGCCTAACGGCCTTGGTGACGTCACTCAGCCAAGGTTTTGCTCTGAGATTTGATTTTCTAGTTTTAACAGGAGCGACATGATCCAGAGTCTTTAAGCAGACAGAGTTGAACTGGGATTTCAGCTCCTCAGTGGTGGTGAGAAACACTGGGGGCTGAATTATCATTTCAGAGTTATAAGCATCTGTGAAACGTGCGGCAGTGAAAAGGTTAATGGTCCGGCTACTACGTACAGGAATGCACAGCTTAGGAGTTAGATGGGGGAGGGTGAACTCAAACTGGACTGGCATGTGGTCTGGAAAAACATTATCACCAATTTCAAGATTACTAACAGTCGCATCATGAGTTAAAACAAGGTCCAGTGTATGTCCGCGCTCTTGGGTGGGACCGTTTACATGCTGAGTTAGATTAAATGAGTCCAATATAAAAAGTCCTTAACGAAGGGCTTCTCTTGACAGCACACATGCAAATTAAAGTCCCCAATAATGAAAGCATGATTATATTTTGGTGTGATTACAGCCAATAAATCAGAAAACTCATTTATGAAATCCTTAGATTGAGGTGGGCGGTAGACGAGTGCACATAATGTCAGAGGCAAATGGCCGAGTTCATAGATGCTCAGCTCAAAGAGGCTCAGCTC